TGGTGTCCATAAAGTGTCCATAGTGTCAATAAAGTGTCTATGGTGCAGTTTACTGTGAGCAGTGCTGGTTGTGAAGCCTGACAGCAGCAGGCAGGAAGGACCTGCGATAGCGTTCCTTCACACACTTTGGGTGAATCAGTCTATCGCTGAAGGAGCTCTCCAGAGCTTTTATCTCCTCCTGCAGGGGGTGGGAGTCATTAGTCCTCAGAGATGACAGCTTGGCTGTCGTCCTCCTTTCTCCCACCACCTGCACAGAGTCCAGAGAGCATCCCAGGACAGAGCTGGCCCTCTTGATCAGCTTGTCCAGTCTCTTCCTATCTGCAGCCAAGACGCTGCTGCCCCAGCAGACCACTCCGTAAAAGATGGCTGATGCCATCACAGTGTCAAAGAAGGTCTTCAGGAGCGCCCCCTGCACTCCAAAAGACCTGAACCGCCTCAGCAGGTAGAGTCTGCTTTGGTCTTTCCTGTACAGTGCTGTTATGAATATGTCTCCTGGACACTTTAAACCTTATCTCCATTATGTAGGGACTGCTGCAATAGCTTTTTTGCTAACTGTTGCACTACCCTGACTTTAATTGTAAAGGCAGCTTTTATTCCTTCATCCATATCAGGATTTGAAATTCACTAACTGAGTGAAGAGACTGCTGCACCAAGCACTGTAAGCTATAGATAAAATATTATTTTTATATAGTGGTTTTTCATGTCAACCATCACTACTGTAATTTATAATTGTTACCAAACTGCAGTGAATATTCAACTCCCTCTTTTAAGTTTATTTCTTTTATTAATCCCCCTGAGGGGATATTCAATGTTTTCACTCTTGCTTGTCAATTACACACAGGTCTGAAAGACACACACATGCACAAACAGGACCTATATACGCACAAAGTGGAGAGATGTCAGAGTGAGGGGGCTGCCCTTTGGTCAGGCGCCCCGAGCGGTTGGGGGGTTCGGTGCCTTGCTCAAGGGCACCTCGGCAGTGCCCAGCACCTCTCCAGCTACTAGTCCACGCTCCATATTTGATCCGGACGGGGACTCGAACAGGTGACCCTCCGGTTCCCAACCCAAGTCCCTACGGACTGAGCTACTGCACAGCCCATTTGATAGCTCAGGATGTTGTCCATGCAGTCTCCCTTTTCATCAGTCCAGAGGAATGGCACTACATACATCGCTCCATACATGAGGTCTTCCTTCTGTTGGCACCTATCATTCAGGTTTCACAGTCAGGATACCTTTTGAATTACAGTAAAAGACAAAAACTTTTGTTAAGAAATGGCGGATCACAATGAATCATATACATATACCACCTTGACAGGATAGGTGAATGAATATCTGCTGCAGCTGAAGACTAAATACCTTGTATGGACTAACAGTATTAGGTGAACAAAACCCCTAAATTACAAATAGTCTTCTAAACATTGTATTGTACATAATAATGATAAATACTTCATCAATTTAAACCAGTAACTTGCCTGATTCTTTATGAGGTATAAAAAAAGTTCTCTGTACCCTGAGGTCAGCGCTGAAGTGATGAGTCTCAAAGTGTTCACAGCACAGATGTGAAGCCTTGTTAGGAGTCCAGTTCTGTCGTGTCGTGATTGAACATCACTGTTCCAGCCTGTCTGAATCACCTTGAGGAAAACGTTACACAGACAAATAGATATGTGAAGGAATATATGTGTTAAGTAACCTCCCTCACAGACTTTTGTTTTAAAAAAAGAGGTGGTGGATATCACAGTCCTCATATTCTTTCTGTTGCATTTGCACTTATTTTTCATATGTGACAGTCAAACACAGAGTTTTGTCATACCACAATCACTCATGCACACAGTTAAGTTCAGTAAATGTTAAAGACGACGTGAAAACACTGAATGTAGCGGATAAGCTGCAAACATTACATGTTGGCATTTCATCCAACAGCCAATCACAATCAGTCACCTGTTTTAGCAATGATATTAACAGAAATAACAAAATTTGATTTTGTGGACCGTCAGATTTGATGTTAACCTGTCGTATAGCCTCAATAACCAACTCCAGCTTAACCAACGACACAACATCTAGGTAGAATTAGGTATTCCTGGAACCAAGGTGAAACGTGACATTAATATTTTCAAGTTACACACATACACTTTTTAATGCAACATTACTATCCAAGTCTAGCATTAACGTTACCTTCATGCTACATTGCCCGTGTGGCAAGTGTATCGCTTACATAGCATAACTTTAGCTAACTAACATTAACATGGTGGAGCATTATTTTCTAAACTCACAAAGACACCCTTTGTTGAAAATTATTATGACCCTTCATAACACACTTCTGTATTATGTATGGACTTCCGTGCTTGCAAATTAGCAACCGGATAGCAAGATACCGAGCTAGGCTAACAAGCCAGACAAACAACGATATGTGCTAATTAGAAATAATAAATAAAGTAATAACAGAATGTCACTCACCGAAAACTCACTGGTGTCTTGGTCAGTCAGTTGGTACAATTATCTGCATAGCAAGCGTTATTATTTTTCAGGTATCTGTACAAAAAATATCTCTGCCAGGCTCCAACCAGCTGGCTCTGACACCTTAAACACAGTAAGGAAGTCAAGTTGAGTGGCCTGCGGTGAGGCCAAGCAGACAGCCTGTCAGACAAAGTGGCCACACCCTTAATTATGCAGAACTTTAAGCCTTAATTACATTTGAACGGGATGGTTATAAAAAGATTCACACCCTGTACAGTTATCATGAATGATGAAGTAAGCCATGGAGACCAAAACAGGGTTTTTTTAGCTCCAGGCTGTGAACATGTTTATTTTAGCTGTAAAGTTGGGCATTTTAACATGGGAATCTATGGGGATTTGCTCTGTTTTGCAACCAGCCCCCAGTGGCCGGTCAATGAATTGCAGTTTTTGGTACTTCTGCATTGGCCTCACTCATCAGCCCTGGAGGTTGTCGCTTGACTTAAACAGCAAATGGTGCAAAAACTACATGGTAAGACACACCACAAATACACCTGACATAGAGCTCTTTTCAGACTCACTGATGCCCACATATTTGCCGTTGGCATTTGGACAGAATTTTGTACATGTTTCAGAAAAAAAAAACATTTTAAAAATTGCACAAAGAAAATTAAATTTAACTGTGTGTGAAGCTGAAATAATACATACCAGGATGTGAACCAGCAGTAGTTCATTGGTGTTGCCACACTTAGCGTGCAGAAGGTTCTCCACGCAGAGTTCTGTTGGATCAGGTGTGAAACCACAGCAGCACCTGTCTAGACGGTCATTTACCTGCACCAACAGACAAACACACACAAAGGTCATTAGCTGTGACAGCGTGAGGGGAAACTGGTACCTGCTGCCACTAAAGCCATTGACACAAGGGCACACTGCATACAGGCTGCATTAACCCTCCTCCTGGTGGAAGTTGTTAGAACTGACACAGATAACATGGGTTATGCCATTGCTAGACACTTCAAAGAGAAAAACCATGGGCCAGTTACTTCCCTTAAATTTGTTGGCATTGAAAAAGTACAACCCAATCCAAGGGGGGGGGGGGGGGGGGGG